TAAAAATAAGTCATGGTAGATTTGCTCCTTTAGGGCACTTGTACACGTGATGGAGGTTTAGTCCTCAGGGTTTTATTCTATGCCACCTAAATTGAAACTCACCTTTTCAATTTTTCTGTCATGCTACGGTGATGGGCCCAATTTTATTTTTTTTGTCAGAGACAGAGCCTGCCTGCAGCCAAGGGGCGAGCTGGCAGTGGGCCGAGTAGTCCCTGAGCTGCCGGGGGACCCAGTCCTTTCCTCTGGGGTGGCAGGCCACCTGGGTGGGCTGCTAACACCCGGCCCAATCCAACTATTCCCCGAGGCTGCTCAGGGAGCAGCGCCCAGTGGACTTCCAGTGGACTGGCTCTGGGAACAGTTGGATTGGGCCGAGTGCTGCCTCCAAGCTGAGGCAGCACCCGGCCTATTAGCAGCCCTCAGAGATGGCCCTGGGGGGTACTGCCACTGCAAAGGGAAGGACAAGGGCCCACAGCTCAGGGGCCTCTTGGCCCGCTAGCAGCTCGCCCCTTGGTTATGGGAGAGACGGGCAGGCTCCACCAAAAAAAGAAAAGGGTTGGGCCCCTTGCTGCTTCTGCCTTCAGCAGGCACCTGCTGAAAACAGCAGCGACGAGCCCGATCCCTTTTTTCTGCAGAGCCTTCCCACCTCTCCCGTAGGCAGGGGGCGAGCTGACCGCTGCAATGTGTTGTTGCAAACTAAACTACATCCGGATGTAGTTTAGTTTGCAATGATGCAAAACTCATCTAAACCATTATGTGTACAAGCATCCTAAAAGACTAACTAAATCAGAGATGTATAGCATAAGGTGTAAGCAAAGGGTTTACTTCATCAGATGCTTCATTTAAAATGTTTTTAAAATCTTAAAAAGAATAAAAACAGCCAGTTACCTACCTTTATGGTTACCTACCATATAAACTGCTACTCTTCTATTACATCCTCCACCTCAATTATTTGCCAGACAAGGGAAGTATTCCTATTTGTCCACATGCTTGCTATCCCATACCAGAAATGTACAGTAGAGACAAGTTTCCTTTCAACAGTCTTAGCATGGCATCCTGATAGCTAGGAATAAGGAAAAAGCAAAAGCTAGGAAGCAAAAAATGTAAACTAGAATATTAGTCCTGTCAAATGAAGGGAGATAATCATAGCTCTCTGTAATTTGGTGGAGCTGCATCCCAGATATTAAAATAGCAGATACAGCAACAGCTACATGGTTTTTCTTTTTCCCTACCCGCCTCTACAGCTGCAATAGAAATTTTAGTAGGGGAACTGTAACACCCCAGTGAAAGGACCTCCATCTACAGTAAAACCCCTGTTATCTGGCACAAATGGGGAATGGGGGGGTGCTGGGTATCTAAAAATGCTGGTTACCTGAGGCCGGCAGTTTTTGACCCCACGTGAAGCGGGGGGGAGGGGGGCTGGTGGTGGCTGAAGGCAGAGCGGCTACAGCATAGGGTGGTGGGTGGCGGTGGCGGTGGCTATCGCATGCAAGCTTCTCCCTCCCCTCCCTGCCAGTGTCTGGCTGACCAGCCAGAAATTCTGGTTAATAGAGTGTTCTGGTTACTCAAATGCCAGATAACAGGGATTTTACTGTATTTAAAATACTTAGTAAGTCATCCTTTTTCCTTTGCTGCCTCAGTTTTTTATTGTCACCTGTAACCGGGGGCCTTCCTAGGGCCGGTTAGATGTTGGCCCGCCCACCTGTTTCTGGACTAACCACCTGCCTCTCTTTCCTGCCATGCCTTGATGGAAAAATGATTATGATGTTACTCAGGTGGGAGGCTGCTTATTTAAGACCCTGATGACTAGGGGTGATATCCCCAGCTCCAAAGCTTCCCCAGTACTGGGGCCCATGCCTTGCAGATGGCATCCTAGGCAGCTAAGCTCTCCTGTAACCCTTTTCCCTCTCTGGCTGTGATCCCCTCCCTGGGACCTTTGGTTTCCCTTTAGGCCCTGGCCCCACCTTCAGGCCAGTCAGGATCCCAAGCTTCTTGCTCTGGGCCTCTGCCCTTTTGACCCCGCTTGGGTCCTGGCCCCAGTATGGACCACTTTGAAGGTTCATCCAGTCAGGTCTGAGCCACATGCCTTCTCACCCTCACAACTCCACTGGATCAAGTGAGCTTCAGGCCTCTCAAAGATCTCACAGGTCTGGTCTTTCCCCAGCTAGGACTGTGCGGTAGCTGGAGGTTATCAGGTGCCTCCTAATCACCTTTCACAAGGGAGGTTCATGGTCCTGGCATTTTCTGGGGCTGCTGAGCCACTGGCAGTCCCACCAGGCCTCCCTATCCTGGTACAGTGCAGTTTTAGGTCATGCCCAGGACCTGGAGCTCCCTCCATGCCCATAGCCCCAGACCATATACTTCCAAGTTCTTGGCCCAAGGAGCTTGGCAGGGAGATGTTGTTCCCCTGCTGGCTGGTCTCAAACTGTTCCTCTCAGCACAGAGAGCAGAGCATTAAATGGCCGCCCTCATCAGGCACCTGCCACCTCCCTAGCCTAGCCCTTAAAGTAGGAGGCACTAACAGTGCCCTGCCACACCACCCAATCACAATATAAAATTGGAGGAGAAAATTTTGTTTTTAGATTTCCTTTTAACTTCCTCTTGAAATGGAAAGCATAAAAATAAAACAAACAAACAAAAACAGAAAAGCAGAGCAAACTAGTATCCAAGGGGAACCATATACACTTTTTGAGAGTGTATAAGTGACTTGGGCATTTAGCGTGCCTATACATGTACTCCGACATGTTCCCATTAGAATGCTCCAGAGTGCTGCAGAATCTCATGTACGAGTTTTAGTTAAAGCGCCCTTGCAGCCATTTTGAAATGTGGGATGCTAAATACATGAGAAGCTGTGGCATTTTAATTAATTAAATCTAATTAAAATTCCATCACCCCCCAGCCCAGAGCACATGTATAGGTACCCTTAAACTCTTAAGTGGGTTATGTGCCCTTGCAAGGTTTACCTAATTTTCTTAGATGGGCTTGAGCAACAATCATCCTTCACAAGGTCTCAACATACTGAGGGTTAGGCCTACCTTTTATGTTCAGGAGGCCTACCTTTTATGTTCAGGTAAGAAGCACTTCATTAAGTTTTTAAGAATTCTGTGATTAGCAGAGCCAGTCTTACAGACAGAAACCAGCTTACCGTAATACCTAAAATCCTAATGGCCAGTGCTACCACACACTCAAACAGAAACTTTTTCACAATCAAAGCTTTAAGCTAAACTTTTCTTAATTCTCCATTCAATGTTGGAAAATTAATGGAATGGAAGGGAAAGATAGATAAGCCTTTGCCAGTTAGTATTTCTCATTTTCCCTCCAGTTCTCTCACAATAGGAATAAATATAATTCTTACCACAAGCTATTCCACATCTGTGATATAACATGGTAAGGAAAACCTTAATTTATCACAGCTGGCCCAGTCCTATAACCCTGGCAATCCTTGTAATCAGGACACACATCTGTGGTACTTCCACTGCTGCTGAAAAGTGTGTTAACTCTCTCTGCCACCATCTGATGGGTTCTACAGCTGTCACAGCTCAAGTGAAGTATAAGTGTTCATTATAAGAGCAGTGTACTGGTTTTGTCTCTGATACTTTATGTATGTTTATATTACAAGGCAGTGCCATGCAAGAGCCAGTTGCCTAGTTGCCTGCCCTACTTCATGCTAGTACTTGCAGTATCTAGTAGCTTGTTCAGAGCTAGCTTGTGCATCTCTACATGACACTGCATTGTACCATCGTAGACATAACTAGTGTGTGACCCTGGGCAAGTTACACTTTTTCTGGGTGGAACTGATTTGTGGAACTGTCTTTCTAATACCTCCTTGTTTTGTTCAAATCCAGTATGACTACAGCTCTTAATATTTTATCCCACCTTCTTCTGTCTCCCTCTATCTCCTTTCTTTTTGTCTGCTGACAATACAAAGATAACTCTCATGCCTTCATTTCAGGCCTGTAACTTGGATGTCATCCTTGACTTGAACCTTTCCCTCCTGGCTAGGGACAGAAGTTACACATAAACTGGTATAAGTGATCCAAAATTAGTTCAGATCTGTAACACATCAGAAGTTCAGTGAATGTAAACCGCTTTCAAAATGACTGAAACCAGTTTAAGATAAACCTGGATGTAGTATCAGACTTAACTGATGTAGGTTAAATTGGTTTGTTGAACTTTTGTTCCAGATCTGCTTTAGATTCAGGTTAATGCACAGTTCC